ACGTGTGCTCTTCCGATCTCCCCAAAACCCCAAAACCCCAATGATTAATATCGAAATCAAATGTTTAAATTATAAAATTAAATAGGCTATATATTTTGCAAATTTGATAAGTATTTCAGATACTCTTATATTCAATTCAAAGCAATTTCAATTTTGCTTTCAGATTATTAGATTATTAATTTTACAGTCATTTTCTTCTTTGTTGGCTTAGTATTATTAATTTATGAGGATCGTTGCTTGCTCATTGTTACTACCTGGGACATAGACACTTTTGAATCACATGGGATCACTGAGATTATCTGAATTTAGGCTGTGTGTCGTATAAGTATCACCAAGATTTTCAGAGTAGCGAGACTTTGCTATCCCCATACCCTGAGAATTTCCAGCATTCTTATTACTACCTGTATTCAATTTCTTACTGTTTGAGTAAAAACTGATTTTCTACATCAAGAGAGCAGTTGCTGTCTGTCTGTTGTTGTTTGTTGTGTTGAATTATTATTCCAAAGCTTTTTTATTCGGTGAATCATCAGAATCTTCATCTAGTAGTGTAGAGAATGTAGAGCGTCTCTGTTATTCCATGCCTCTAATTTCATCTCTCATTCTAACCTTTTTCTTATTATTAATTCCGTTCATTAGTGAATAAGTTATAGAACCAATAGGAAATAGAGAACCAAGAATGATTACGAATAGTTGGTGGAGAGGGCTATAAATAAATTCATTTGAAGAGCTAATGCTTACAAATACCAGTTATTGTTATCTTGGCTTTCTGATAGCTTAGTCTAAATATACGGACTACTTAAGTATATATTGATGCTGATTCTGAAACTGATGCAGAATATTATGCTTATGTTTGATATCAAAATCTATAAATTAATAAGCTGCAAATAACTTACTCTATTCTTTTCTTTTTCATAGAAATTTGGATAAAATCTCTTTAATCTATTGGCTAACTAGTAGCAAACTGTAATATACACAACCAGAGTAATAAAATAGACAACTGAAGTAAACACATATTAGGTCTCATGAGCGTTGGTGTTACCTGGGTCTATAAACATTGCAATGATTATTCCTAATGAAGTAGCCAATACAACGAATTAAGATATTATCATTGAAATCAAAAGTATTCTTTTATCTCGTTGGTAAAGATCTTCCTTCATGCTTACATATGTTTTTGTTGCCAAAACAAACAACACCCTAAATGATAAATTTGTTATTATATCATAATTCTCAGCATTCACTTTTTATTAGGAATGATATTTAGACTAAATAGTACCTTTGTATTCTACTTACCATTTGTAAACGTCAAATACTATTGCAGAAAAAAAGAAATATATCTTTCCAAAGTCTATAATCCTTGCTATATCCGATGACTTGATGTAGTTATTATCATCATCTATGTGAAAATACATTGTTTCCAAAATGCAAAATATCAATAAGCCTAATTGGAAAAATGTGAGAAATAATATTGTAAAAGCATACAAGATAAACTTAGAAAAATAGATAAAACTGAAAGCAGTAATGGCAAATCTGAAAATCTCACCAGTCGGAAGACCTTGAAAATCAAGTATGAGACAAACATCATAAGTGCGAAGGTGACTATACCCAGAAAGGTCATTATGATAGTCATTTTTTAGGTCATTGTTAGATCAGTTATCTTGTCATCCTAGCTGTCTGAGTCCGCTTACTAATCAAAAATCTGATAGAGTGAGTCCTCATATACACTCATTTTTAAGTAATTTATAATAACTTTTATCTTGAAATAAGGCAATTATTTAATTATTTCTATCTATCCAAATCTATATTACAATATATCTGTTTCAGTGGGGTTTTGGGGTTTTGGGG